ACACACACACACACACACACTCGCTCTCTCTCGCGCTCTCTCTCTCTCTCGGCTCTCTCATTCGGCCCCCCTCCGCTCGGTCCGAATAGGAGCGTGTGGGGTGGAAGTTGAAGGCAAAAAGGCCTCAAGCGGTGAGTCGAATAGAGAGAAGCCCCATGTAATCGGCGCACTGTCGCATGTTCTAGAGACTCGAAAGTCTATGCCGCGCGAGCTGCAGTCGCCACGTTCCAGTACCAGCACCTTGTCGGAGTCGTCCTGAGCAGCTGCAAGTTTCTGCTGTGCTGGCGCTGGCCGCTGCTGGCCGCTCTCTGCCTTGCCTTGCGCGAGACGAGGGAGTCGGAAGCCGTGGCAAACCTGAGCCACGAGAAAAACGCTCGCGGTGCTCCCTCCAGAGGCGCCGGCCCCGGAGAGCTTCCCCTCCGCCGCGGGCTCCGGGCTGGAAGCGCGCTTCCAGGGCCAGCATGGCCTCGTCGAACGCCTTCACTCGCTCAAGGCCCAGGACACGCGAACGGCGGACGCGACCCAAAAAACCACCCGACACGCTGCTCGTCCCTCCCCTCCCCTCCGTCCCCTCCCGGCCCGGAGCGCGGCACCTCGAGGAAGGCGCAGGGAGAGGTCGCGTCCTCGTCCGAGCGAGGGAGGCGCCCCTTCGAAGCACCTCGAAAGGATTCGGCGGAGTGTGGACTCGCTTGCGAGGCCGGTGCTGAGGGCCAGGCTGCTGACTTCCGAAAGGCTCAAAGGTTCCAGGCAACCGGACTCGTTCCCCATGAAGCTCAAGTATCCCTGCCAGAGAATGCAATCCTGGGTACCTCCCCGCTCCCAGCCCTGGAAAAGCCTCTTCCCCGTATGAGCCATGCCTTCTTATATCCGACTCCGAGTCCCCCCCAAACTCCCAAACCCTTCTCTGGTGTTTTCCAGCATCTACAAACTGCCACTAGCGATAGCCTCTGAAGGCTGAACGTGTTGAGGCTTTGGGAGGCTCCCCCAAGCCCAAGGTGTCAATTCCCCCCCAAAAAAGCCAGCAGAAGAAGAACACTGCTGCCTCCCCCCACACCTTCCTCAACTTATAGGAATCCAACCGATCTAATTCCTCGTGCAGTGCACTTGGTCTACCAACTGCGCAGTGTTTTGATGTTCCCTCGTTTTCAGGGCCAGGGACCAGCCCAAGGCCCTGAGGGAAGCACCACCGACGCTTTTTGGAACCTAAATTGGTGCGCAGTTGTCTTTGCCTCTGAATAAATCAGGCAGAGTAAGCTGCTGAATTCCGAGTGCATGCATTCTTCGATACCGCTAGTAGCAGACGGAATCTTGAGCTGGGTTGCTGCTTCAGGGGTGTTGCAGTTGGTGACAAGGGTCTTTCCAGATGTCAACCTTCCAGAATTACAAACACACACACACACACACACACATCCGTTATATACCGTGTATCACAGAAAACCGAGATCTCCCGAAGCTTCGCCGAACTTCCCAGCCGCGGCGTCGTCGGGTCAGGCGGGAGACCGTCTACGAGAGCCGAGGCAGGGAAGGCGACGGCCAGAGGGGCTATCTCCGACCCACTGCAGTGCTCTGATCTGATACGAAGGGCCTCGTCCGAGACGCAGCAGAAATGCTTGTGGTACTCGACATTTTGACTTCAAAGAAGGCCCCATTCCACTTTAAACCCACCGAAGCTTCAACTCAACGCTCGAGGTCCGGAGCCCCAGAACGTGAACCCTTCCTGGAGCCTCTGGATTGCTATATATATATATATATCTACATACATATGTGTGTATCTATTTTCTTTGCTCTGCAGCAAATCTCCGACCGCACTGCCGCAATGCCTAAAGAACGGTCTGATTTCCGGGTTCCGCTCTTTCCCTCTGCAAAATTACATCTGTTGTAGGAGTCATCGAACGCTGCAACTTGGTGCAAGGTTTGACATCCACTTTGCTACTCTCCTGCATCTTCTTCCATGTCCCATCTATAAGCGTTGTTTCGCCAAGTACATGCTCGCCTTGATTGTTCCTTTGACTCATTCTCCTTCTATCAATGTACGTGTTCATTGCGGCTTCTCTGGTTTGCATTCCATACATCGCATGTTTCGCATCAAAGTCTCGTTCAGAATGCAAGGGCCACTAGAAGTCGTACCGAAGCTTTCCTGATTTTTTTCCATTCTCTGCATGTAATGCAGCGTTTGTCACTGTGTTTTAACACTGAAGCTTCTTGGCTATTTTCTCAAGACGTGCTGTCATCTAGAAGGTCGTCATACGAGAATCGTGTGTGAACCGTATGGAGGTTGATAGACAAGAACAGGTGAAGGCCGCTTTGGTAAGCTTTCAGAGCTTACCATCCGAGAACGGGACTTCTCTCAATGCTTGGTCGGTTATGTGCAGCGAAGCAGTGCAGTCGGGGCCGCCTCGCCGAGTCCCACGGTGGCCAGGCCTTGTCAACAGAGAGAGGGATTTTCTGGACAGAAGAGGTGTCTCTGAGATCTGCGAGGAGAAGGGCTACCAGAGGGCTCTAAGAGTCTCAGAGGCAGAGTCTCCCGGGTGCCCGGCGCAAGAGCTTCTGCAGGGCCAAGCCGCGGGACGGGTCGCCGCCTGCAGAGAGAACTAGTCAAAAGGACAACAACATAAGAAAGAAAGGAGGGGTTTCTTTTTCTTCCTTTTATGGTAGTACACAGTGGAGGCAGAGACGACCCTGCAGAGCGCTTCTCTTTAAGGAGCCGCGGAGTGTGTCCCTTCGCGCTTTGCCTGAGCGAGGCGGCAAGGGAGAGTCTCCCAAAAGCAGGAAAGACACACATCACGACCACCCCCACACCCCCACACCATGACGAAAAGAGACTTAAAGCAAAAGCAAAGCAAGAATGCAGAGACTCTGCGAAGAGACTTACTCTGTGTCGAACAGTTGAGGAGACAGGGCAGCGCTGGCCTTGAGCGAGGAGCCGACCCAGCGGCTGCCGCAGCGCCTCCTCCGACAGGAAAGGACGCGACGACTCGCGACGCAACGCGCGACGACTCGCGAGCGACGACTCGCGCCCCCCGGCTGCCGTCGGCCCTGTCCTGGTGAGACTCGGTGTAGGCCACGCGCGGCTCCTGCAGAGCCACAGAGGCAGAGAGCCACAACTCGGCGAGCCGGGCCCCCGTCCTGAAACCGCCGAGGCTTCCTTAAGACAGTCGCGTCGCAACACGTCGCGCGTCGCGCGCAGGCCGAGGCCGGCCGTCTCTCTGCCGGCGGCTCTTTGGGGAGACCACCAGAGCGTCCTGACCAGGTCCGTCACGTTCCAGGCCTCCTCGGGCTCCTCCCCAAGACCGCATCGCGAGATCGCGAGATCTTCCAACCCGCAGCGCGACAGGCTCGGTGTGTCTGCGCCTGGAGCAGCTGCCGGAAGAGCTCGGCGCCTCAGAGAGAAAGGAGAGAAGCCGGAGACGCTTTTTCCTGGCCCTGGGTTCCTGGGTTCCTGGGTTCCGGGCTGGAGGGCACCAGCCGGCCGCTGAAGCCTCAGAGGGCAGATCCCAAAGGGTTCAGGGCAGGGACAGCAGGGACAGGGACGCCTTTGCTCTGAGGCCCAGAGCCGAAGCCCCCGTCCTCCACGCTGCGGCAGAGCACGGGATGACCCGAGGAGTCCTGAGCGGCGGCTACGACCCAAAACAAATCCAACGGCCACTAAACCTCCTCTCCGAAAGTTCCTCCGCCAAGGTGATGCCAGAGGAGGGCAGCAGGCGATGCACGAGGTGGTTCGCCAGCATCAGATACGTGGCGGACCTCAGCTCGGCGCATATTCACACATGTACACACATGTACACACACACACACGCAGACGTACAGTCCAACTTTCCGTCTGCATCTTCCTGGATGCATGCACGCATGTGTATTATATATATATATATGTATATATGTATATATGTATGGAGATACCGGCAACGACAATAATGATGCGCATTCTGAACAGCGAGAACTTGCATGTAGCTAGAGTGATTGTGATTGTAAACATGCTAGTAATGGCAAGAAAATTGAAACTTACAAAAAAGTACGTACGTACCAGTATTATTACCACCACCACCACCACCACCACCACCACCACCACCACCACCGTGACAACGACGACGATGCCTACTACCAGCACTACGGCTATGGCTGCGGCTACGACTATGAAGACAACGACTACTACTGCTACTGCTACTGCTACGGCTCCAATACTACTACCAGTACTATCACTCTTAGCAATAAGATTTTTCATCATCGCCACGTATCATTCGTATCATGGCATGGCAGAGACATGGAGAAAAGAGGCGAGACGCGCTAGCGCAAAGCTCCTGCAGCTTGCTGAGAGCAAAGCTCGAGGTCCGCGTCCCAGCCGAAGTGCCTCAAGAGAGAGAGAGAAAAAGAAAGGGGAGAGAGAGTGGGTAGGGCGCTCTGGCGACAGAGAGAAGCCTGAGGGCGGGAGAGGAGGTCTTTCATCGGAGAGGAGTGTCCAGAACGAGAGAGAGAGAGAGAGAGAGAGAAACAAAGATAGAAGAACACGCGCGTGTAAAGTGTTCGCAGCGGCTTCTGGCCACGGAGGGCGGAGGCGTGCGGCTTTGCATCGCCGCGTTTCCTCTCCCTGGGGTTTCGGCTCTTTGGAGTTGGCAAAGGACTTGCCGATTCCGTGGGAGTGGTACCTAAAGAGCGACTACAAGCCTCTCTGAGCTTCGCCGTATCTATCTCTTCTGGCAGAACTAAACACTGGGGCCACGAGCAGCATGCTCGTGATGCCTGCAAAGCAGAAGCCGTCGATGCCGTACTCCTCGGTCGCTTGAACAGACAAGAAGATTCGTCGAGCAGAAAGCGGTGAGATGCCGCGGCCTCAATCCACCAACGGAGGTTGGAGAGGAGGAACCGCAACACCTTTGCCGGAGGCCCTGTCTCAATGCTTACTTGGCGCAGGCTCTGCGGAGTGCCTCGTACTTGCCGTAGTCAAAGAGCGCGGCAGCCCAAGACTCCTTGCGAAGAGCAGGGATACAAAACGGGACGTGCCAATGCCAAAGCCAGTGAGACAAGACTTGAAAGCTTGGGACAGAAGCAAGTTGCCGAGGGCACAAAACTACCGACAAACAAACGAGCCACAGACATAGCAGAGCGCACATAGATATACGCCATATCTACGAGCTTTAAATCTGCACACATGTGTGTGTGTGTGTTTAGTTATTATCGGAGGACCTTTTTTTGTGTTTGCGTACATAACATAAGCATAAAAATGATACAAACATAGCTAAACACCAAGATACGCATATCAATACAAACATGCAACAACTTAAAAAATATACATATATATATATAT